TTACACCCCCCCCCCCCACACACACACACACAGTACAGTAATAAAATATTTTTTTTTTTATATATGATTTTATAACACATTAAATAATTAAATATGACATGAGATCTTATGCCAGGATTTCCCCATTTTTACAGTAAGCCTACAAGTTCCCCTAGCTGGCACTAAGACGCTTTTCACAATATTTATTCTTAGCCAACTATTATTGTCAGCCCAGTTTACATAATGCGCTGTTTTCATGTCTGAATATATTTACAGGAATATCCGCTTAGATTTATCAAATCAACGCCATGCATACATTCAGTAGGCTCTAAATCAGGGTTTGGGAAACGTATTTATGTATTAATTATTTTTCTAAAAATAGATATTAGCCCTACCATAAAATATAATATATTTGTCTACGCTATCACTATTTTGATTCAAAAGGGTTTATTAAATCTATTTATGCGTAGAGTAGGCATCTCTAAATAAAGTGTAAATATGAAAAGAATACAATTAAGGCAATACAATAGACAAACTTCTCAAAATCTGAGTATATCTTTTCATTCAATGTATTTAGATCTTTGACAACTTCATAGAGACTACCCTCCGGAGTGTATATCTTGTGGGGTGTATACCTTGTGGATCGTACACCTTATAGAGTGTACACCTTGTGGAGTATACACTTTGTTTAGTGTATATCTTATGGAGTGTACACCTTATGGGGAGTGGACCTTGTGGAGTGTATATGTTTTGTTCCCCAATCTGTACGAATTTACCGGCGTGCTCCCTCTGAAGTCACACATCTTAATGAGAACTAATAAGTCCCCGATTTGGCTAAGAGAACTCACTGAATGGCTGTTCTAAATAATTTATTATAAATGTCTTGTGTTCAAATTGTTCTATTTATGTGCTGCAAATGTATAATGCAATAAAAAAAAAACATTTCCATTTATTTGGATCAATAAAAGAATCTTATCTTATCTTATCTTTATCTTATCTTATGGAGTGTGCACAACCTTGTGGAGAGTACACCTTGTGGGGTGTATACCTTATGGAGTGTATACCTTGTGGAGTCTATACCTTGTCACCATGTTCCTTTAAATTCCCATATCCTATATCCCCAAAAATCCCATTTGAATATAGAAATTTGAGAATTCATCTGCCTGTAGATCGTTTGAGGTGAACCCTCATGTTGACTCGCAAAGATCGGATTTGGAATTTAGGTCACAGGGGATATGATCAAAGACAGGGTTTGACCTCATCAGAACTCGAAGAAAGGCGGCTAGTGTCTGCCTGAAGTCACCCAACAGTAGGATAATAATCCTTCTTCTTCTTTTATATATTAAGGGCCAACGATCAACTTATTGATCATTCTGGCGCCTATGCATGTAAAGGGGATTTGCAATATTTTTGTGTCTGGTGTTGATGAGGATATTTCACTGGTTGCAAGGGCTACTTTGTGAGGGTATCATGCACTGGGGGTTGGAAGGCCTGGGCAAGAGGCGCAAATGTGTCAAGTGTTGTCACCTCAACTGTTCCTTTTGGAAGCTTGTTTCAGTCCCTGGTTGTCTTTGGCAGGAATGAGCAGTTCCTTTACTGGCTTCTCACTGGTATGAGCCGGAACTGCCTGTCATGGCCATAAGGCATTTACTACCCATTAGGCATTTACAGAGGCATAACTGGGTTTTTAACGCCCTTGGCTAATTTATTTTTGGCGCCCTTGATTAGAGATTATTAGAGATTTAGCGGCACCCGTTTGAACTAGCGCCCTTGGCAACTGCCCCAATGTCAAGCCGGTGTTACGCCACTGGGCATTTACCTCTCCGGTTGTCCTGAAGTATTCTGTCATATGCTTCTTTCTATTCCCCGCCCCCCTTTGTGGGCCATGGTGCACTCACCCAAACATTCATCTTGTACTCCCGAAGTGTCTGAGCTGTATTACACTGTTTCGAAGTGTTACACAAAGTAGACACAGGGTGATTTAAGTTGAGATGCAGTTTATCAGCAGAGTGAGCTGTCTTTGCACCGTCCAAAATTTTTTTAAAAGGTTGCTTCTATTCACGATAGTATATGCTATACACATGCAAGGAAGCTACAGAAAACGCGATTTTCTTGCTTTTTCTTACGCTATGAAGCAACAGACTAGGCATTGCGTCTAGTTTAATGAAATTAACGTAAAATCTAATGTTTTAACACAAAAGTAACGTAATAGAAACCACATAGCTGGTTCCCCCGTGTCCTTTTTATTTTTTCTTTAATTTTATAGGCATTTGAATTAGAGTTTATCAGCTTCCCCGGTATCAGTTTTTAATTTTCTAATGACTAAGAGTGCTTAACTAGTTCATTTCTATCTACACCTTAACCAGCCCCCCCCCCCCCCTTTTTTTTTTTTCATTTCAACCCCTTTGGGGATTTTTATACAATTCTTGACATTATGTTCTTACCAAATTATGCCACTACACCAATGCAGTGCTGACTTTAGGCAATGCTATGGGAAAATCTTAGAGAAACTAAAGACTTCTTAGTTGGATTTTATTATATTTCACATGATTAATATATTTTTTTTATTCTCACAAGTTCTTTGATTATAGAGTACTTGTTTTAATAAATAATGCAGTCCTAATTCAGAGAATATTAGTCTAATATAATTTTGGTAAAAAGAAATAAGATTTATTGCAAATATGTTAAATGCTAGGTTTTTAATAGGAAAATAGCAAATAATAAGACAATTTACAAATCTGGTCGTAGCAACCTCGTGAGTAAAGGAATAAAATATAATATAAAAAATCAACAACAAATATTTTAAAAACCCCTGTCAAATTATTTTGTAAGTTAGCAAGGTAAACCTTAATATAATGAACATGTTAATGAAGTTATTTTTTCAAGTTGATTAGAAATGTGTTATTTGCTAAATGTCCTATAATGCTGAGTGTTATAAGTCAGATCTGTTTAATTCACGTTGAGAAGAGATGTATTGAATGAAATCAGCCAATAACTTGAAGACTTTCCTTGCTTTGGCTTTGCATGATTATATAATAATTCATTAATTTGAAGGATTTTCTGGTTCTGGTAATGTTTCGTTGCTGCATCCATGAACCAGTGGCGTAGCTAGGGTCGGTGTCACCCGTTGCGGTAAACTCATGGTGTCATCCCCCTCCCCCGACTTCCAAGATGGATTTGTTATTGTTAAAATAAGTCCACAGTATAACAATAACAAGAACAAAAACAAATTAATTAAAGGTCAGGAGGTAAATTTATTTTAGAAGAGTGATCAATACATTAATTATGAGCCCTCAAAATATAGAAAAAGAACAAGTAACAACGTTACGTTATAGTTATTTTTACATTAAATTTACTTTACTAAAAATTTTCCTTTCTTTGTCTTCAAAGTTGCAAATCTGTCAATTACTTGATCAAATTCAATATCCTGCACCGTGTCACATTCAACTGATTAGAGACCGACCGAATTTCGGCTTCGGCTTCGGTTTCGGCGCCGAAAGTGGCAATTTTATCACTTTCGGCCAAGTTTCGGTTTAGGCCGAAACTGAAAAGTTAACTTTCGGCTTAATTTCGGTTTCGGCCGAAAGAGAAAAGTTAACTTTCGGTTTTTCTTCGGTTTCGGCCGAAACTGACTTAGACTTTCGGCCATGCGGCCTAAAGTGACTCAGGTTTTCGGTCATTTAATACTCAGCGAAAGCGATATTTAACAACAAACTAAGTGACATTTAAGAACAAATTAAGCGATCTTTGAGAAAAAACTAAACGATATTTAACAACAAACTAAGTGACATTTAAGAACAAACTAAACGATCTTTAAAAGAAACTAAGCGATCTTGAAGAACAATCTAAGCGATTTTTAATAACAAAATAAACGATCTTAAAGAACAAACTAAACGATTTTTAAGACCAAACTAAATGATCTTTAAGAACAAAACAAATGATCTTTAATAGTAAACTAAATGATTTATAAGAATAAACTAAGCGATCTTTAACAGAAAACTAAATTTTCTATAGGCTAGGAACAAACTAAAATATCTTTAAGAACAAACTAATCGATCTTAAGGAACAAAATCAATTATCTTTAAGAACAAAATTAATTATCTTTAAGAACAAAATTAATTATTTTTAAGAACAAACTAAGTGATCTTTATGAAAAAAGTAAGCGATCTTTAACAACAAATTAAGCGATCTTTAACAACAAACTAAGCAATCTTTAAGAACAAATAAAGCGATCATTTACAAAACTGGACGATCTTTAACAACAAACTAAGCGATCTTTAAGAAGAAACTATACGATCTTTAATAACAAACCAGGCGATCTTTATGAACAAACTAACCAATCTTTAAGAAAAAATAAAGCGATCATTAACAAAAACTGGACGATCTTTAACAACAAACTAAGCGATTTTAAGAACAAACTAGACAATCTTTAACAACAAACTAAGCGATCTTTAACAACAAACTAAATGATCTTTGACAACAAACTAAGCGATCTTTAACAACAAATTAAGCGATCTTTAAGATTAAACTTAGCGATATTTTAGAACAAACTAAGCGATCTTTATGAACAAACTCACGGATCGTTAAGAACAAATTAACCGATCAATAACAACCAACTAAACGATCTTTAAAAACAAATTGATCTATCTTTTAGAACCACAATTTTTAGAGACCCGGTTTAAAACAATAATATTTTTAAATATAATTGCAATCTGTCACTACCGTGTCCATGAGTGGTGCAAAATATTCCACTACAGCTGTTTATCTTATTTTTAGGACTTTGAAAGGGCAAAAAAGGCTGACTGTGCCCCTCCCACGTCAGAAGAAATGGATAAAGTGAAGACCACGCTGAGGCAGATAATGCGAGATTGGAGTGAGGATGGGCGTTCAGAGAGGGAAGCATGTTACCAACCAGTGATGCACGCTGTCTTAACACGTCTTGGGTATGAACCAGATGATAACACTAAGCTTTATATACTTTAAAAAAAATATTTTTTGAAAATTAAATTGTGTAAAAGAAGAAGTAAAAATGTTTTCTGTTTTGCTGTAAATATAATTTGGCATCATTTAAAAAGAGATTTCCAATTAATAATTGCCACTCAATGGACCAAGTTATTAAAGTTAAATTCATGTTCCATGTCTTAAGTTTTTTTATAAATTTTAATTGTTTCCCATTGTTTTATCCTTTAGGTCACGGAAGCCGTCAGAAGTAAAGATCTTAGTGCCAGGTGCTGGCTTAGGCAGGCTAGTATTTGAGTTTGCCAGGCTGGGCTACTCATGTCAGGGAAATGATTGGAGCTTACACATGCTATTAGCATCCAATTTTATACTGAACAGGTGATATATTTGGTTATATTTTTATAGCAATCCTTGTATTTTTTTAGATTATTTGATCTCCTTTACTTTTTTAATAATTTTTTTTCATGTGTTTCTAGAATATTTGTTTTATTTACATTTATTAACCTTCAACCTTCAGCTTGGCAGACCACTTTTTTGTTCAGTCCTAGAGATAAAGAATCCAGTATTTATTTTTTTAAATTTTTTCTCCAATATATGTACTATTTCTATTATAACTTCCATAATCTGAACATTTTTTATTGAGGCAAAGAGTTTACAGAACTCACTAACTCAAAGCTGGGCTTTTTGTTTGAATTTTGAGTCAAAGCCTCTTGGTATGTCCTTGAAACTTCTCTCCAACCAAATCAAGATATTTTCACAGAAAATTTTGACTTACATCTCTATTTTATCATGTTATTTATATTTAACACCCTGTTCATAATGACATTGCACTGTATTTAATGCTGTATATCTACTTAAACACCCCCTTCATAATGACACAGGACTGTGTTTAATGCTGTGTACTTGTTGAGCGCCCATTCATTATGTCATATCACTGTTTTTAATGCAGTATACCTGCTTAAACACTCCTTCACGTTAACACACCTCCGTGTTTAATGCTGTACACTAGCTTTAGGCTTTCTACAAAATTTTCTGCCGAGCTGGTCATTACTGTTTTGATTTTAAATACACCAAGGCTTTAGAAAAAACAAATTCATATATCTGTCACACTAAACGTATGGTTATTTTATTTGCACTACGCTGGAATGCTTATTTTTAAAATGTACATGGTTTAACAAATGGTGACCTGTGATACAAAATATTTATGATTTAATTTCATACCTTGCCAAAAAATAATGTTTGTCATCTACAATCAGGTGTCAAGAAAGAAATTCAATGGTTTTCTACCCCTGGGTTCACCAGTACACTAACAACCTAGCCACTAAAGACCAGACCAGGCGCTGCATGTTTCCAGATATATCTCCATTACAGATCAGTTCAGAGGCAGACTTCTCTATGGTAGCAGGAGACTTCACTAAAATATACACAGAGCCAAGTAAGCACCTACTCAGAATGAGGCTGGCAGCCTATGCGATTTTATTTTATTTCTAATAGTGCTATATTATGCTTTGTTGTTTATTTTAAAATGATGTCATGCTAGTGGGATTAGATAGTTTACTTTCATGTTTTATGTATGTTGTACATATAATCAAATTAAGCCATCCACTCTAGTGATGAATCGTATCATCTATGCATATTAACAGATCCAAAATACACTTCTATTATTAAGGATTAAGTTCATTTCATTCAGCCAAAGTTTTTTGAACAATTTCATGCACGAGACATGAAAACATCATCCTAAGGCAGGCATCCGCTAACTTACTTTTGAGTATCCACTAGGAATTTATTTTATATCCATTAGAAAAATCATTGGAAATGTATTGCACTGGAACTGTGCCAATTTCATCTTCTAAATAGTTAAGACAAAATTGTTATATGAAGATGGGGGCAAATTATTATTTTCTTGAGAATTGATGTCTAAAGGCTTTGAAAGCAAAAGTCAAAAGATGATAAAGTAAACGTTGTCATTTCAGATTATTCTATGAATTGTTATAGCTGTTTGATTGGTTTTAAATCCTTGGTAGCATTGTTAGAGATTTCAAACAATGGACATCAGTGATTTACCACTGCTAATATTGTTTTTTCCCCTCAGATTCCTGGAATGCTGTAGTTACTGTATTTTTCTTAGACACAGCTCACAACATTATTGAATACCTGGAAACCATTTTTACCATTCTAGTTCCTGGTGGATACCTGGTCAATTTAGGTAACTAGGTTTCATCCTTTTAGATACCTTGTTAATTTAGGTAGCTTAGAAAGTATTTGATAATAAAGATGTTAGTTAATTTTTGTTTTGAAGGAAAATTCATTATTAAAGGTGACAGAAGCTTGTGTAGGTTTATTACTATATAGTCTTCTACTTTACAGGTCCATTATTGTACCACTGGGCCGGACAGGTCAACGAAATGTCTGTAGAGCTAAGCTATGAAGAGGTTAGGAAGGTGATGCTGGACATTGGGTTTGAAATTGAGGTCAGTCTACATGCGTCTGTTGGAAATATTCATTAATCTTGTAACAGAGTTAATTATAACATTCTCATTCACGTGTCAGGCATTGAGGGAATTTAAAAAGTCTCTTTAACCCTCTTGAGATGACTGGGCTGATATATGGGGCCTAAGAGTCATCTGCGAAAATAAGAAAGGCAGATCCACCTGTCCAATAATACAAGCCTCGAGATAGGCTGGCAGGTCTTCATGCTAGCTAATCAAATTGCTTCTCACATTTCTTGCTCATCTGGGGATTTAAATGGCAGCTTCGTCCATTGATAGATTACAAGGTTCTGTCATTTATATTTTACTTTTTTTAATTTTATACCAAGTGACCCTAATAAATGATTAAACGCTATAGTTCCACACAGCATAAGCACCCCTATTAGAATATTTTATGCTGTTTTTCACAGTGAATCTCATTTAAATGTTTGTTAGGACTAATTTCGGCTTCTACATTCAGAAAATTCACCAAAATAAGCAAAGTAAGACACGTTTAATTCAAGTGTAAAAAAAATTGCATGCATAAATTATGCAAATCAGGATATCTCAGAATTCCCTCCAACAATCCATATACTTGTATATTTAGAAAGTAATTAATTAATTTTTTGTATACATTTTTTTTTATTGTGCAAAGTTAGAGCTGGGCTTTTGAAGAGAGCTCCGCTAGTCCAAAAAGGCTCCGTCTCAAGAGGGTTAATTATTTCCTTGCTTTCTTTTAATTTTATTCCCCCCTCCCTACCCAAACCACACATTCCCTTTCCCCAACCACTCATTCTCCCCAACCACAATCCCCCCGTACCTCATATTTCCTTCCCCCATCCTCAGATTTACCCCAAAGTGACCTGAATGCTCATTTGTAACATCTAATACAAACTTAACATGGTCAATGAATGAGCATTGAAATTTATTTGATTAAATTGTCTAAAATTTGATCTTAGCGTTCTCTTTCACTTATACACACTAGCGACCATGGGAATACAAAGGTGGGGGTAGAACATCCAATATGGAAAACTACTTATCAATCCATTCAGTCTGTAATGCTATATATAATGCTTCAAACTTACAGTCTACCAGTTCGGGTCTAATGTTTGCAAAGTGTTTTTTAAAAAATGCTTTTTTTAATATAAAAAAATTGTTGCCTTTCAGAAAGAGGAGATGAATGTCCATTGCTCATACACACAGAATCCATTGTCACTGATGCAGAGCTACTACAATTGTGTCATGTTTGTGGCCAGAAAGCCGATACCACGTTCATCACACCACGACCAAGGTAGCTAGTGTGTTCACATTGCATTTCTACACTGAGGTGGCGACATTAGGAAAATATCTTATCTTTTACAGCTGCTGTTCTCAACCTTTTTAGTGCTGTCACCCATTGATATCATATACCAAGTTGTGGGAACCCACAACCGGGATGGTGACCCACAACTAGGATTTATCCCAGAATTTGAGAAACAGGTGCTGAGAAATAATAAGGGGTTGGGTATTGCCTGTAAAAGCTGTAAAAGAAAATAGCCAGGTCATAATAAATATTATTTAAATTTTAACGGAATTATGTTACAAATAAGATTAAAATTCAGATTTTTAACCCCTAAAAAACCTTCACATTTTTTAAGTTCTCAAATGACCCTGGGCATATCGTCAGGCTACCCACTGATTTACATGGTAGCATTTTGAAACAAAAGCTATTTGAATTAATGAAAATGAAAAACCAGGTACAGTAATTGTACCTCTGAGCAATATCATTGGGAGGAAAGCCACATGTAACCTATGGTTGGTCATCAGTGGCCATGGATATTGCTATTAATAGATAGGCCATAACTCATTGTTTTCATTTCTCTCCCCTCCTAAGATAACTCTCCTCTTTAAAAAAAAAGAAAAGTTGATTAGGTAAATGGGATTGCAATATATAGTCCCACCAGCTTCACCTGGAGACCTAAAAAGTTATTTCATGAAAAAGGAACCAGTAGGTCTGGAAGCGAGTAAATTAGAGATGTTTTTTATCAGGATTAAATTTCAAGCTGATGTTGTGTTACGTCAGGTTATCTGGGGTTAAAATAAGTTTTATTATTTTGTTAAATCAGATAAGTGTCAATATCTTGACAGCCATTATTTGCAATGTTGCGCCAGACTGGAAAACGTGATCTTTGATTTTAAAAGATACTTATTAATAACCCTAGCATTAGAGATGCATTCATCTAAAGATTTTTTTATTTGGATGAGGTTAAACGGCTCAAACTGTAACCAAGTGCTATCTCTTGTCTGTGACTATGTTTTAGGCAATATTTTATGATTATTTAATAATACAAGCTGGATTTTACTTTATGATGTAAAACTTATGTGTGCAAGTCATTCACTTTCCATAGAATTCAAATATGAATAAATGAATGATTAATGTCTTTGAATACTGCGACACATTAAGTTTATATTTTAATAGATATTCCTGGCCAATTTTTCCAAAATAAATATAAATAAACCTTTTTTTTTAAATAAACAAATGGGTTGTAGATTCCTGAAGTTGCTAAAGGAAAATTATAGTTCAAATAGTGTTTCAGGAATGTTTAAAAAACATTAATTTTATTTTTATTCTGTCAATGCAATTTATGTTGAATTAATATTTATGGATATATATAAAATAAATAATTTATTGTATACAAATATTTTGTATTGTACATTATTTTGCAGATACTTAAATATTGGTCAGAAATGTCAATGTATTTTTAAAAAAGTGTTGAAATTGAAAATGCCTCATGCAATTGCAATTCAATATTACGATATCCAAATTTGTGACGATTATTTTAAATCCTACAACTTAATAAACTAAGAGGATTTATCCTTAAATGAATGACTTTGTATTTTTATTACAGTGAAGTATATTAAAACATTAAGTATTCTTCCTAATTGACACAATTTTTCAATTGTTAATTAATTTTTTTAATGTTATTGAAAATGACAAATTAACTTCAAGAAACTCTCTACATTCATAACTTTATTACAAAATTACTAAAACATAAGTAAAAAATATTTATGTGAATATACTTGAACTTCCTTTAATTTCACAACCCTCAAAAAAATATTAAAAGTATAAAAATGTTTTATTAAAGTATATTTAGTTTTTATGAACACATCAAATGACAGTAACCATTACAACAATTTTAGTTTTCAAATCTATTTACTTATCTTCAATGTCTTATGACAACATAACAAGTTCTGAGGTATTTAAAAAATTAAAATTTCATAGTTGTACAATTTTATAGAAATAACACTAAACAGATAATTTCAACAGGTCATTTAGGTTATACAAATCTATTAACATATCTTCATTTTCTTCTGCCAACATGAAGGAATAACAAGTTTTAAGGTATTTGTAAAATGCCAAAGCTTTACAATTTTATAGAAATAAGACACTAAACAGATAAATTCTACAGGTCATTAAAAAAATGTTGACATCACAGAAACTAATTATAGTTTGTGCCTCTAAATTAAATATTCTAGCATTATATTTTTTTAATGACTGGTTGAATTTGGGACTTACAAAAATATAGGTGAGTTTTATATGCTTTCTATTTCAAAGCAAATTCAATAAAAGGGAAAAGTATATGCATTGTGAAATCCATTTACCTCGGAAAGATACCCCCATGTCATTTATAATGTGACCAAGACCATACATTATTATAACTGATACATATAAATGCCTTAGCACTGAAATTTTAATATTCAGTTTTTGTAATGAGGTGAAAATATTAAAAATGTGTCAGTTGATAAATGGGACCAACTTTTGATTTATTTTTTTTAACAGCATGGGTAATCTACATTCAACTGTAATGAATTGACATGATATAATAGCTATTTGATGTTCCCTTAGTTTCACTAGCTGCCTGGAATGGGGAGGGGGGGGGTATCTGATGGCTGGTAACCAGCTAATTCTCCATAAAAACATCTGCTTTTAGGAATAAGACAAGACCTAAAATAATCCAGGGCTGGTTGCAAAACAAAGACACATTATTTTGTTGAGTCTAATCAAGTTATCACCAACTAACTAAAGGAATTCTGTATAAATATTGTTATTCTATTATTAAAAATTTACTGATAAAAAATATTTTTTGTATAAATGTACAAGCTTGCCAATGGATCCTTTAACTTTAACTCTTCAACAACAAAAAAACATCCATGCAGCGAATTGAAATAACAAAAATTCATTGAACAAATATGGATCTGGTCAAAGCACATCAGCTGAACATTTTGTGGTGTCTTTTAAATTCAAACATCACAATTAAAAGTATTAGCATTTAATATTACAGTATGTACATATATGAAGAAACTGTCTTTGTTCAATTGGTGATATTTACATGATTTGTTTCTTTTAAATAAGCCAGACTGACGTCAAAACACAAAATGTATATCAAGTTAACAAATATAGGAATCTAGGAAAGATGCATTTAAAACGGGATGAAAATGCTAAACTGTCCTCAAACTCCTATGCTGACAACACAGTATCAAATTAATCCAATGCAGCATCCAATGCTCTGGCTTGACTTTGACAATGTAACTCTTGCAACCGTTATGGTAAACTTTGCACTGATGAAGTCAGTTTGTGAGATGAAAAGAACAAAGTAGAAGTTCAACTAGTCAAAACAATATGTCCTGCAGGCATTGAAATGTTTAAATAAAGACACAGCCTCAAAAAAATCTAAATCGAATAATATTGTTTTTTGTAACGTTTTTTTTTTTTTCAAGCAATGTGACAGAACTGTTTTTGCTGGGCTTTTTGGCCCAAACGTTCACTTTCTGTTATTGTCATTTAGGTTTTCCTATACCCTTTGCATATTTCATATGACAGAAATCACAAGCGCAGAAAGATAAATAATTCTAATTCTGCCAACAGCTTCCTTCTGTCCACACAAGAATTTATACAAATCATCTCCACCTTCTGTATCCAGCATGGAGCAGCAGGATTTATTTTTTTATTTCATAATCGATGCCAATCAAATTTTAGATTTAGTAATAACTATTTTGTTGGAGGCGTCGGGGTTGTCCTTTTTTTGCTTTTACTTTTTGAAGTACTCTGTGCCTGGGCTATAGTAGTGGTTCCAGTTGGTTTGAGTGGAAGGGGATGGAACTGGAGGGTTTGAGATCCACCCCCTTGACCTTTCTGGAATGTCACGTGAGTGGCCAGCTGGGAGGTGCCCTGACCGAGAGATGCTGATGCTCCGCCAGCCAGTTGTATCAGCTGCTGTGCTGTGATTGTCGCCCCGCCTCCTTGGCCCGCCTTTCCTCCGACACCTAGAGCCGTCATTTGTTGGCTTGTCAGTACTAATATGAAGAAAATCAAAGCAACATTTACATGGGACATTCATTTGCCAGGCATGACACAAAAGATAGTGTTCTGAATGTAAAAACAAATTTGTGTAAAACTGCTATAACTTCTGTTTTTTGTTTTGAAGCCTCTCATTTTCAATTTTACTTAATTTTTGCTGTTGCTATATCTTGACTTATTTTTGTTACAATGTATAAACGTTTCTAAATGCTATTTGTAAAAATCAAAGAAGTGGGACAATGGCCACTTGTGTCATTTCCTACATCAGTTTAAACATACTGATAACTAAATCATTCTAATTGTGTCAAGACCTAGATCCCCAAGCCATTGGAATTATTAAAATATCAAGCTATTTGAATTATAAATATACAAAGCTATTGATATAATCAAAATATAAAATATAAACTGTGACATTACTCCAAATTTTAAGGTGCAACACACAAGCAGATAGATTTTTGTAATATTAAAAAAAAAACTACATACAAAATTGTTCAACTAATATTAGCTATTTTTAATCCCTATTTTATTTACTATGGGTTCCCGCATCTCTCTCATTCCATCTTATCGATATCTTATTTATCATGGGTTACCACATTTCTGTTATTCCATCTTTATATCTTATTTACCATGGGTTCCCACATCTTTCTTATTCCATCTTATCTATATCTTAATTACCATGAGTTCCCACATTTCTCTCATTCCATCTATCCATCAAGTGCTGCCATTTCATTAAAAACAAGAAGATGTGTTAAACTTAAACTAAACCTTTGTTCCAGAAGAAATTAGAGTTTAACAAATGTTACCTGAAGACAGAGGGACAGAGGATGTTGTCCCTTGGGTCAGTCTTGTGACTCCATGCTGGCCAGTGGTCAAGGTCCCAGGCTTAACTTGACCACGCTGTTGCTGTAGGCTGACCAACTGGATCTGTCCTTGTTGCCCCTGGAGCTGAATCAAAATTAAGACAAATGTCAGACACTATTTCATACCCTTTTATGGAAAAAATATTAATAACAAGATTTGGCACATTGACTCCACATAGTATAAAGCAAATTCACAATTTTACATAGCAGCAATATCTTTTTCCTGTTTGGTTTTTAAATTTTACTTCCATCCTTGCCATTCTGCTGAGCTTTGTTTTTATAAGGGACTTGTGCCCATTCATTTCTTTTCTTTCATTTTTATATCGGATTCACAGATATATATTACGTAAATTTAATGTACACTTATATCAATGTTTTTTGTGTTTTTTTTGTGTATTGATGAAGGGATTGGCCATAACGTTTGCATTTGTATTCTGTTTAACCAATACATTTAACCATTCTGTTACAGCTTCACCTATATTGTCTTATTTACAAAAATTGTTTGTATCTCATTAATCTGCTTGACAGCTTTATCACAGTCCAACAATCTTATTTCATATCCTGCAACTCTGTCTCCACCAAATGTTTTATGACTGAATACATTGATTTAACACCAAAACCTACAGGAGTACTAACTTTCAATCAAACCCTGATTTGAAGATAAATTTTTATTACAGAAGCAGAATTTAGAAACTATGCCAACACATTTGCACATTGTTTGCTGTTTTCCATCAACTTCTATGGGTTTATTTGTTTAGATAATTAAAGGGTTTGAATTGCTGTAAGCTGTCAACTTCTTCTATGACTATATGTGTTTAGATATTTAAAGGGCTAATTCAAAAGATACAATATTTTTGGTCTTTTTCTCAATGTAATATGAAATGGCCGTCTTTAAAAAAAAAAGAAGATCTGCTTAAATGATTAAGCAATTTTTAAGTACCTGGAGCAGAGGCATAGTTGATCCTCGAATGGTTTGTCCCCCTTGGGTTTTTGATGTGACAGGCATCAGTTGGGTGAGTCCACTCAAGCCCATGGGAAATGAGAGCATGCCAGAACCTGGAGAATGTAATTCAGGAAGGTGGATGTTGTTAAGTATATGAAATGGCATGTACTTTACTGGATGAGATTGGTACTTAACAAGAGGGATTGGGGGATTCTTTCAGCTAATGTCTAATAAAAACTTTTTTTCAAAGAAACATTTATTTTTAAAAAAATAATAATTAAGCCAAATATCTTTTGATCTGTTAAATAGATCGTCAAGAGCTTTTGTTTCTGACTCAGAGAAATTTTTCAAACTATGAAATTGACATCATTTAGGCATTTTTTATGTTTGTTTTACAAAAATTAATCCTTTTATAAAATATTCCTAATTTGATGATCACCCGCTTAGCTCTGTACCTAATTTGGTCAACTTCAGAATAATAATTTGATAGTCTATTTGCATTGAATTTATTTTACATATATAATTCTTTGAACTAGTTTTAACAATGATGGGATACCGCCTCAAAGATACAATAATTTGTATTAGTCTGATCTCATTCTAAAATCAAGTCCTAGTGTTCATCAAGGGGCATATACATCTGTTTTCAAAACAACAAAGACTTAATTATAAGGGCTGGTTAGCTGATAAAACTGAAACAAACAATCCTACCTGAAGATGACGGTATTTGTGAGGACATTGACATGCTAGTACTTGTGGATGTGTTGGAAGTGGAGGCCTGAAGTGCTGTTACCATGGTAACGAATGTGGCAGTGTTGGAACCAGATGTGGTGGAGGCTGTCCCCTGGTAAAGAAAAAAAAATTGTTACGTTAATCCAGGAGCTATCCTTACCCTAAACTTGCGTTAAAAGACTTTTAAATAATTATTATTATAAAAAAGATTTGAGCTAAAAATTAAAAAAAAAAATTTAAAAATTGAATAAATCAATGGAAAAAAATTAATTTAACAAAAAGATGGTTTTCATACCAGTAATCCAGACTGAGCCTGTAGAATTGAAGGGTTGTTGTTGATCATGGTAATGGGGACGGCTATCTGAGCCAGTGATACCTGCAGGTTGGAATTGAACATTTATAACATCTTGCCAGTACTAAGTAATGTATCCACATCCACTTTGCTTTCACAAGGCAACATGTAAAAATGTCTCATTTAACAAAAAGTATGTCACTCAAATAAGTTTCCATCCCATTGCACAGTGAATGGTTAAAATTCAAAAATGAAATGACACATAATGGTCCTGATCATAATTTTTTAAATATTCTTTGATACCTTTAAAAAAAAAATGTTTAATCACAAATAATCATTCCCAGGACAGGACATACATATGTATGGCTGTAACACTGGGTTCAATAGGCCCCAAAAATAAACTTCCCCAAAGTTAGCACTAATTGGGATTCTTATAAACTGCGTTACTTGAATGCATAAATTTCGCAAGTAACTTTAATACATGGGAAGTACATGGGAAGCCATTGTTTGACGGGTTATTTTTTAGTAATTAAGAATATTATCTAGAATAAGCCAATTAGCGTTGAGCTAGAAACTTCAAGTGCATACCTGCTGCAGGCCTGGGATGTTCACTCCAGGTATCCCCAAGTTCTGAATGTTGATGTTTGATGGCAGGTTGCTGAGGTTACCGATGCTGATGTTGGTGATACCACTTTGCTGCTGCTGTTGCTGCTGGCCATCACCTAGAACAAATTATATTATATAGCGGGTTCATTTGTGTTATGTTTTCAAACTAAAATGTGTTTTAAATGAAACTATCACTTTAATATTTTTTTTTAATAAAAAAAACTTTAGCCTTTGTCTAGATTGGGCAATCTTGTAATTTTAGTATAAACCTCTCATAGTCCATTTTATTGCTGTAGCACAGGCCTGCACAACTAAAAATGTAAGGCAGGACGTAATACTTTATGAAAAACTTGTGCAGGCCAAAAGAAAAAAATAATAAATAAGATGGGGAGGGGGGGCTGCTATTAAGAATATAATAAGAATAAAGAATAGTTTGTTACTTCGCGGGCCGCAAAGTGGGTGCTGGCAGGCCGCATGTGGCCCACGGGCCGTATGTTGTGCAGGCCTGTTGTAGGAAGATTACAATTACACACCTGTATTAGACTGTCCTGTTCCAGATGTAAGCCCTTCAGAGGTAAAAACAAAAAATGGTAAAAAAAAAGGGAGAGGAAAATGAAACCATTGAAGTATTTTATTTTTATAGAAATGAATAAATGCCATGGCCAAATCGTAATGCGAGTTGAACATATCTCTTAACTTGTCTTGGGTAAACACTAATTGGGACAAATTTTTAAAGGTTTTTACACATATCTATTATCTTAACATGTTATATGAAGATAATATGAAAATCTTGATAAAACTTTGTCATGAAATTATGCATATAAATATGACCAAAAATACAAACAAGTGTAAATATTCATATAGTTGAAATCAAATTTGACACAAAAATATTAATTTTGCTCATAATTAGGCAGCTTTTGCACACTCAGATTTGCTACTGCCACAGTAACTCTCTAAACGCTTCAGTCAAGTTTTACAAATTTACAGTTACAGGAGACATTCAGACATGATTTATTTGAAACATTTGGTTGGAGCATAAAAAGAACATTCCACTAATGCAATTTTAAAAGAATTTAGAGGATACAATGAAGCTCTACATCTTAATAAATGTGAAGAAAAGAAAAGTTATAAAAAAAGTGTAAGAAATGGGAAAAGAAATAAGTAAACAAATGGGAAGAGAAATAAGTAAATAAATGGGAAGAAAAAAAAGTTTATAACTGGGAAGAAAAAAGTTCATAAATGAGAAGAACAAATTTCATGAATAAGAAGAAAAAAAAGTTAATAAATGGGAACAAAAAAAATTAATAAATAAATGGGAAGGAAAAAATTTTCATAAATAAGAACAAAAAAAAGTTATGAAATAAATGGGGAGAAAAAAAGTTAATAAATGTGAATGAAATAAAATTAAGAAAAGAAAAAGGTGTTTTGAAAAAAATTGGAATTACATGTTTAGAGAGTTGCAATGACCATATTTCTAATAGACAAATGTTTCTTATTTTATTAAAAATCATCTTGATTTAGTAATATTGTTTCAAAACGATAAATTATTTTTTTTAAATTGTTGTATTGCATGAAGCAAAAATACATTAATATGCTTGTATCTGAATTGAGCTGTCATAATTTTGAGCACATCTTAATACATCCACTATCTACTCATAAAAAAAAAAAAGCTTTACCGTGTAGGAGATAAAGTGTCTTGGTGTCACCCTCACCTTGCAAGAAGTTGGCTAGGCTTTGCTGCTGCACCTGCTGCTGTCCCAGAGATGTCATCTGCTGTTCAGTGCCTGAAGCACGACGTGACCCAGCCAGAGTGGGAGTTGGGGTGCGCGCATTTGGGGGTGGGGTTTGGGCAGGCGTTGGGGTGGGGGCTTTGGGGATGGCCATGATGGATGCGGATGTGGGTAAGTGAGGCTGTTGGGCTGTTGAAGTGGTATAATATTAACGCACACTGATTTCTGCATTTTTAAAACAAGCAAACAAGCAAATCATTAACCTGTTCGTTACCACTGACGTCACGATCACCCACTTTCATTTACCAAGGATGTCACATTGTCATCATAAGAAAGAGGCAAATACATTTTCTGAAATACCAAGGACGTCACGTGGATGTCGTATTTCAGTGCTATATATTTCTTTATTCGTTAATTAACAGAGAAGTTAATAAGCGGATTGGATAGAGAATGAAAAAACACCAGAAGTTTCTTCTTTCAGTTTGTTTTTTAATTGTCGAGTCATCAAAAATCGATGCCCCCAAAACCAGCAGTAATGAAAGGGTTAAAATGGACTTGTGAAAACTAAGGTAGGTTTAGAATCAATGGTAACATGGATGTTTATAAAATATTTTTAGATTCAACTCTCTCCTGCTTAAAAATGAGGGACGCCCTGTGGAGGAAAAGTGGTGTGTCTTTCTTCATGAATGGGATACATCAGATTCAAGCACAAAGGAATCACCCTCAGCTATGATAAAACAGTCGGCCGGAATGAACTTGTCAGTAAATCATTGCATCAAATCATGGGGAGGCGGGAATCCACAGTGAAAGACTCCAGCCACCAAAGAGGACAAAAGTAATTACTGTGTACAGTCTGCGAACACAGGGGGGTCATATGCATGATATTTTTTTTTATAGCAATAAAAATTTAAATTTTACATTGGATCTTTAGAATTATAAACAAACAATCGAGTAGCTGATTATAAAAGTTGATAAAAAACAATGTTAAAAATTGAACAGATTTCATGCTAATTTTAACATCTTACGTGTTGAAACTTTGGGTGTTGTAGCTGGACTTGCTAGTGGTGATGAGTTTGGCCTGCATGTGAATAGAAAAATAAATGAATGCATACCCTGATGCTGAGAAAATTATTGTATAGACACTTTACAACAATAAGTCATTAAAACTGCAGCCTGAACATATGCTACTGTGGCTCACCGCTGTTGGCTGGAATTGGTCGTGGCCTTAATCCTCTGGGCTGTCATGCTGATTGTTCCTGATGGTACAGTTGAGGCGATGAACTGTGCTGACAGAGATGATGGTATGCCACCAGCACTGGCTTGAGCAAATATACCTGGATTGAAGTTAATAAGGCTATTTTGGTACTTTTTTTACACAATCATTGATACCTTATATAGAATAATTTATTATTATAATAAAGTCATTCATAAACCCTATGTAGTACTTTAAACTGCTATTGTAAACAAATTTATACAGTGTTGTACTTTATTTTAAGCTGCCATGCAATCATATTTGTACTGTGTATTTTTAAAAGCTGCTTCACAGTCATATTCATGAACTGTATTTTTTAAGTTGCTATGCACTCATATTTATACAGTGTAGCTTTTTAAGTTGCCATGCAGTCATATTTACACTGTGCAGTTTTTTTAAGCTTCTATGCAGTTACATTTATACTGTGTTGTACTTATATAAAATCTGCTTTACAGTCACAAAATTCCTTCCTGCGTTCTACCTTAAGCCAGCGCGATCTGTTCCCCCCCTCCCCCCCATACATTCATACTTTACCCTGTGAGGTTGATAGGCTAACAGCTGGGCTTAAGGACAAGGACAGCTGTATGGGGATATTCCTCTTGGCCGCCAGATTGGCCACTGTGCCCATGTCTGAGGCCTTGACAAGCTGCTGACTGGCTGCCACCTGTTTGATCAAAGTCTGTGCATTGTTGATGGTGATGGCTGTGGGGGTCAGGTTCTGTATGGCTGTTGCTTGGGGCATCACCTGGATGAGAATTACTCAACATTATGACATAAACGAACATATAACATGGTTGTAGTGTAAAAAAATAATCACATTAAAATGCTACCCATTGGGAACAGACTTGTTAATTTTTTTTTTTTAATGAAATGTTGAATCTCAATGATATTAAAATGTCTTCATTATCATGTAAGTATTGTTTTGGCAGTAAAAAGTTAAAAAAATATTTAATTTTCCCTTTTGAAAAAAAAAAATTATTTGTAAATTCATCCTTCTTTATAGCTATAAGCAAGTTTTGATTTTTTTTTAAATAATAGGGGTCCATCCGCTTAAATGATGACTCAAGAAAGAATCATTTAAATAAAGATAATTCATGCAAAATGTTTTGTCTTTTAAGCAATAAATAAAATTAATTCATGCACCAGTACTCTGTGTTTAACCTGTAGCTACAATGTTTTTTTTAACTACTGGATTTGATTAAAGCTCATCTTTAATTGCTACGAACACAAGAAAGTTTTGTCTGATGAGTATATTTACCTGTGTGTAGTGTATTGTTGGAGTTGTTTCATTGGCTTTTACAATTGCAATTTTCACTTGCAGCTTTCCTTCCTCTGTAAACAGGTCCTTGAATTGTTGGAGATACCTAGAATTTAGTAATAAAAACATAATAATAAAATTAAAATAGTTTTTGATAAATAAGTCATTTGATCAATATGACAAAACATATTTCAAAATTGTCCATTATCAACTTCAGTGTGGTGGTTCCATAGATTTTGTGTATCAATAAGGATTATTAATTTTAAAAGTAATTTAATTTTTTAAAATATTTCTTTATAAAAATCTGATTTATTAGTAATGGAATTCGAGACAACAAGGTGTTTTTTTGATACTAGTACCATAAAGCATCTAATAAAGCACCCCCCCCCCCCCCCCCCCCCCCCCCCCATCCAACCACCAAGACGAAATTATATATTTTACTCACCTATCAACACATTGTCTTGACCCAATGACAAATCTGGTTGAAAAGGAAAGATAAGCAGTTTGTCAGTTTTTAAGCAAGTGAATATTGCTTCATTGCTTCTAGTCAAAAGCTAGGACTAAAATATAAGGAAAAGCAATGAGGTGGGAGTTTATAAAATAAGGTGTTATTTGGTATGTTGCCAACAACTTGAGAAAACATAGCAAAGCTTTTGTTCAGACAATAGAGTTTTTGAAAAATGATCATGCGTCAAAATTGAAATAACATTTTTAGCAACTACTAGCTATCTATTAAACAGCTAATGATTCTAAAAAAAACTCTTTTTTTTGTATTTTGTGGCTGATTTTTATGCTAGAAATAACTTAAATATTTTGACAAATACTTTAGATGTCTTGTGTTTTAATTGCTCTAATTGTAAAATGTTGACTTGGTTAAAATATGTTTAAATGTATGTGCTGAGAATGAACATGTACAATGTAATAAAAAAACATTTCCATTAATTTGGATCAATATAAGAATGTTATCTTATCTTAATTATCCCTTATAAAACTCACTTAGACCACTGAATAGCTATCTGGACAAGCTGCTGAAGTCCATTAAATTAGAGACGGAACCCACTTACCTACACCTCCTCCCCTCCTCCCCCGTTCGGCCCTGCGTGTAGTCATGATCCAGGTAAAACTCCCCAAAATAATTATCCCCCAGCTGAGGCTGGAAGATGCTGATTTTAGCCATCATGTGTCTCTCCAGTGTGGGGTCCCTTTCCATTGTGTGCTCCTCCACAAAAATCTGCACAAAATCAAAATACATAATTCTCTATGCAACAATGTAGTAACGCTACCAGATGGCACTCATTTCACTAAATAAAATCACAGATAACTATGCGAAATGAGATTCTTAAAATTACCCCAAGTGCGTTTGATGCATAATATTTTCTTTTGTTTTATGGAAATAGTTGGGGTAATAAATCTGTGCTGTAAAAGGGGGTGGGACATTAGAATACTAATATAGCTCAGGAGTGATGGTACACCAAGGGTAAAAAAGGGGAGGGGGGTGTAAGCACCAATTGGGATTCTCATAAAGTGAGTTTTTTAATAGCATGTATTGTCCAGTAACTTTAATAAATGGGAAGTTCATGCATTGCGGCCGCCATGGTTTATCAAGCTATGGCTAGTTCCAATAATAGTACAACATGGAACCTTGTCATTATAATAAATACAAAGGGGGCTCAACTGAGATGTAACAATGTTTTTTTAACCCGAACAGTTGACTTTGCAGACAAATAATTTCTCAAAGGAAATAGTTGATCAATTCAAAAATAATTGAAATTTATGTTATATTTTCAATGACCAAAAAAATAATTTTTAATGACACAAAATTAAAGTATAGCGTAAAAAGGAAAGCAATCCACTCACCACCCCATCAGCAGGGGGAGGGTCTGGTAGTTTAACAAATTTCTTCACCTGGAATAGATGAATGAATAACCTTAAAAAACAAGTGTATTACTATTCTCAATAACACTTTTCAAAATTAAATTTTGATACCACACAAATATTTGAAGAAAGCAAGAAACATTGTTTTAACTATTCTGTTATTTTTAACAAACGGTTGGTGAAATGTCAAAATTTAACAACCTTATAGCACAAATGAGATCAAACGAGCAACACCAAATAACTGCCTATTCTTTCCATTTTACTACCTATGTTTGAAGAAGTAGAGCAGAAGAAATTGGCCCTGATTAACTTACATCAATGGATTCTGGAACTGTAAGCTTCTGCTGTGGCTTTTCTTTGAAACTATCAACAAGCTGAAATCAAGGAGGAGCAGAATCAAGACACAAAGAACTGTTACAGTTTCATGAACAACTTGTGGTAGTTGGTGCTGTTATTTTATCTTCTTTTGTTATAAATCATATCCCAACAATAGCTACCGGGTACCAACACAAAAATGGAGTTAGGGGGCCATTCATAAAAAAAAAAGCATCACACTATTTTGGCAGATTTGGGACCACATCTACACCACATCAACAAATTTGTAACGAAATTTAGAGACCCTCATCACATATTTGTGCCCCCTTCCCAACCTAGACATGTGACATCTTTTATGGATGGCCCCTTACAATGGCCTATGATAAATCTCATGCTGCCTAAACCTTAATGAAAAAGTGGTATTTAAATCAACACTAAATAAGTTGGGTGTTGCTTTACTTACCATTCTTGCTTTAGTTAGGCCAGAGATTCTAATCTAACCTTCTCTACTTACAAGTGTTGCCTTCCTTAGGCCAGTGAGTCTAATCAAACCTGCTTTACTTACCAGTCTTTCCTTACTTAGGCCAGAGATTCTAATCTAACCTGCTTTACTTACCAGTCTTGCCTTACTTAGGCCAGAGATTCTAATCAAACCTGCTTTACTTACCAGTCTTGCCTTACTTAGGCCAGTGCTTGCTACTGGTTTGCCTTTTTCTTTTTTCTTAGCCAAGAAGTCAAAGAGCTGCATGCCTTTTGGTGCAGGGGCCTGCCCCAGTTTACGTTTCCTATTAACTGCAGCCTGTGTATTTTTCTTAATAGACCTAATGATATAGATAAAAGGAATATTAATTTAGTAAAATAAGTGTTTGCACACCAACAAAGTAACAACTTTTCCAACAATTTAAATTTCATATTTTAAGATATCTGCCCATTTCTCCAACACTCATGCATAATTTTTTTTAAACAATTTATAAACAGAATTTTGTTTTTTGTCAATTGAAAATTGGAGCAATGTTAATTTAAAAAATGTAGAAGGAGTGGCTGGGGTGCAAAAATTATACTACAAAAGTTGTAAGGTACTAAACTCTTTAAACCTGTTTTTTTTGTTCCACTCACATGCCCAGGCAGTCATTTGGGCACTCACTGGGAGAGTGAATGAAATTTAAAAATCCCAAAACAACCTTGCCATCAATAATTCATAAGTTTTAATACACCCAAAAATAATGAACGCTCCCTTATAAAAATATAATTAGAGCATGATGTTTGAATTAAAACCAGTTTTAGAATTTTAATTTTTTTTTTTTTACCTTTCATCCTCATAAAAAGGGTTCCTTTCTTTTTTCCCAGGACACAGTGCATATTGCATGTTTGAAAATAAATGTTTTTTCCCCCACAAGACAGCTCAGGGAACATGCCTGGTAAAGATTTTAAATAATTTTAAATAAAAAGGAGACTCACCTCCTCAGAGCTGGGTCATTTAAGAATTTCTCTTCATACTGTATGGCATTCTCCACAAACATCACAGCCGGTGATGGGTCCAAACAGAGAGGTTCTTCCGTGGCTAGAATAAGCTCACTTTCCAGGTGCAGCAGGTCATCTTGTGTCCAGGGGTGTCCATCGCAACTCATGGCTGTAATGTCTCTGAGCAATGACTTTTTAAAAAAAAGAAAGTAATTAATGAATTAATACTTAAATTGTCAGGTCTAATTGAAGTAAAAAATTGACTTATCTAACATTAATGAAGTAATATTTTTATTGACTTTAGACATGAATGAATAATTACATGGACTTATCTATCATTAATGTAATAATATAAATTATTTGACTTTTTATACGCATGAGTAATTACATTGTCTTATCTAACATTAGTGACCCTCTACTTGTATAGACCTAACAACTGTCAATTGAGGCTTTTGTTGACCTAGCTAAGACATAGGAAGTGATATTTTAGCTAAGACATATGAAGTGATATTTTAGCGAAGACATGCAGTGATATTTTAGCTAAGACATATGAATTGATATTTTAGCTAAGACATATGAAGTGATATTATAGCTAAGACATATGAAGTGATATTTTAGCTAAGACATATGCAGTGATATTTGTATCGACCTATACAAAATTAATGACCCTACACAAAAAATGTTCTCTATTGAAAAAACGTTTTTTTGGCGTTAGTTTTAACACGCGTGCATTATGTAAAATGAAAATGTTTCATCCCAGCTTAGGTGTCAAGACTAAATTTCAGACAAGGTATCAGACATTTTACACAATGTATCAGACATTTTACACAAGGTATCAGACACATTTTACACAAGGTATCAGACATTTTAGACCAAGTATCAGAACTTTTAAATTATAACGCAGACAACAAATAATCAAGTCGAGACACAGGGAGAAATCCCTTGGGCATCTTTGGTATTTATTTTAAATTCTAGGACACAGAGGATATATGTTGTGCCACAAGAAATATAATGAACTACCTGGGGAGAAGGTCTGAGAAGGACATACTGTGTGTCATGTGACCCTGTGGCGGAACGGCGGTAATCTCGCACCTCTACAATCACACAGCCACTATAGAACACGTTCATCTTTGTCAAAATATAAGTGTAATGTTATCATAAAAAATGGTTTCAACTTTTATTTATTCATTGCAATTTTTTTTTTTTTTTAAAACGTAAGATCTTTAATTAACTATTTATTGATTAATAAATACTACCATGTGGCAAAATATGTTAAAGTGACAGTTAAAATGTTACTTACAAGACTGAAAATATTAATTATTTTTTAAATCTATATCTTTTCAAAGAATATCAAGACTTAAAGAAAAATGTGTTACCTGAGCTTTTTCCAAAAGATCTAGAAGGAAAGGAGGCAACTGAGGAGGTAATTTTTCATAATAAATTCCTTTTTTTAAAATTAAAATATTGTTTGTATGGCTGCATGTAGATAAAATAAAGTTTGAGTAATATAGAAAAATATATTTCATTTAGAAAGTCTATTCAATGGTCTTACTTGGGCTGCATCAACATACTCTAAGATTTCTGATTCCTGAAAAGGAAAAAAAATTCTGTATGATTAGTCTTTTAAAATTTTATAAATAATTTGTGAAATCTATTATTCAAACCAATTTTAAAAACGAACAAAAATGTATAGAATGCTGATAAAAGTAAAAGGCTAAATTTGAAATGAATTTTTTTTTAAAATTAATCTATTTGAAAACTTAATGAGTCTTTTTACAAAATATGTTACATATAATTTCAAAAATGCATATAATTTGAAGGGAAAAAATGTAGTGAGCGAATCAAAATTTTGCTATCGTGGTAAACTTCAAAAAGTAAACAGTGCAGGAGAATTATCAATTTACAAGCAGTTTTCAAAATCAAAGGTCTTCAGCTTTAAGAGTCTTAAAAACCCCAAACAATGAAAATAGGCACTTAAAGCAAGTGACCGCACTGAAAGGAAAGAAATCAATATTAAAAATGTATATTTCTTCTTTAAAATATTGAAGCAATGTTTCCCCTGGCCATGAGAGTATGTTTTACTGATGAGAAGATGTGCCTATGCTAAGTTTGTTTGATACCCCTTTAACTGAGATGCAGCAAGAATATTAACATTTCTACCTCATATGGCAGTTTCATCGTCTCAGATTCCACTCCACTTTTAGACCGCAGCATGATTGAGTAGCCTTCATTGCCCGGGTATAGACTCAACACCATGCAGTTGAGACGCTCCCTCTTACAGAGTTTAGCAAGAAGGTGGGTGGCACACACAAGATCCTATTATGAAATGTTGAAGTATTACAATGTACATATATTAAAGTATTTATAAATTACCTGAAAAGAAATGTTTGCTTGTGACATGAAGGGAACACAATGGAAAAACAACAAAGTAAGCAGTCAGATTATCTAGGCAATGTACATGTATATAAAACATCTATTGTAAATATAGAATACCTAAGATCAGTTTGATCAGGGTGAATCCTTTATCTTAAAGTTAGGACTGAAAGATATAAAAATTCTTTTGTTCCCCAGTCAGTATGAATTTACCAGTGAGGGCTCCCCCAAATCTAAATGATTAAGTCATTTGTGTCCCTGAAGGAGTTCATTTATGGTTGATTTCTACGCTAGAGAATACTTTAGATATCTTGTATTTAAATTGTTATTATAAAATGCTGTCTTGGTTAAAAATATGTATTTATTTATGTGCAGTACGTGATTATGTACAATGTAATAAAAAAAAATGTCCATTTTTTTTTTGATCAATCAAGAATCTTATCTTATCTTAAATGAACAAGTAAGGGCAATTTCAATTATTTTTTTTTTTAAAATCCTTTATATTAACTTTGTTTTGTGCGTGTGCTTCTTTCTGTCTGGGTTTGTGGTGAAATCTTCGGATGGCACTTCCTGTCAACCTAATGAGCTGAAACTTTACACATAGACTCGTTGCCAATGACAACACATTCTATCGAATTTTCAACCCCAGCCCCCAACCCTGTCCATCCATCCCTGTGGAGCTACAGCCGATCTAGGGCTTTGGCCTGCCTCACTACTTCCTTCCACTCAGACATAACTAATGCTTTTCTTTTCCACGCTTGGATTCCCACCTGCTGTAGATCTTTTTCCACATAATCCATCAATCTAAACCTAGGTCTGCCTTTGAGCCATTTTCCCCTGGGGTTTTGGTGATGTGCCCTCTTCACTCCCCTATCATTTGGCACTCTTTCTACATGGCCTGCCCAGCGTAGCCTACACTTTTTTATTTCTGCTACTAGCGTGGGATCCTGATAGAGACTGTACCATACCTGGTTGGTTCGTATTCTCCATCCATATTCATCCTTTGTTGGTCCATATATTTTCCAGATAACTTTTCTCTCCCATGTGTTTTCTGCCATTTTTGTTAGGGTCAAAGTTTCACTTGCGTATGTTACAACTGGTCTGATTACAATTTTATAAATAGATGTAGTTTCTTTGTGTTCCTTGTAATGTTTTACTTTTGAGTATTTTCTGGCTGATATTCTTTCTTTTATTTTTGTTAGTAATTTTGTTTCTTTCATTTAATAAAGATCGTAGGTATTTGAATTGATTTACTTTTTTTAAAGTGTGGTTTCTAATTTTAATGGCTTTATCTGTCTGTTATTCTCTTATCATAGTCTTATCCACATTGTTAGTGAATTAGTATTTCTTCATGGTATGGTTGTAGTCATTTAGCAATTAGTTTTATCGCTATTTTGTATGGAACATTTAGTAAGGAAATTTCTCTGTAGTTTGTGCATTGAAGTTTGGAACCTTTCTTGTGTATTGGGGTTATTAATGCTGTTTCCCATTCTGTTGGAATTCTCCTTTCTTGCCAAATTTTAGTAATAAGTTAATGTGCCTGAGTGTGTAGTTCTCTTCCTCCATATTTAATAAGTTCTACTGTGATGATGTCTTCTCAAGGGGCTTTTTGGGTTTTCTTATAATTGATTAATTCTGTAGATTCTTCTAGAATTGGGGAGTTAATTTATGGGTCTGGTCCTCCTCAGGGTGGTTGATAATGTTCATCTTGTTTATTGTCTGCATTTAGTATGTCCTCAAAATATTCAGCCCACCTCTCGAGTACTTTACTATATTCCATACTTAATTCTCCATATTTGCTCTCACACGCTTGCGGTCTGGCTTGGTATACCATTCTTTTAATATTTTATCTTCATGTACATTCCTCTGATGTTTCCCTCTCTTGACAAGTCTTTTATTTCTTTTAGCTTAGCTTTTTCCCATTCCCTCTTTTGATGCCTACACATTTTTGTGGCTTTCCTTCTGGTTTCCTTGTATGCTTGTCTTATCTTTCTGGTTTCCCTTTGTATCATGGTTATTCGTGCTTTGTTCCTCCTTTCTTCGACAGTCTCCCTGCATTCATTACCAAACCGGCCTACTCTATTGTTAGTTTGCTGGAATCCTACTACTTTTTTTGCTGATCTTTTCACAGCATTTTTTATCCTTTCACATTGTTCATTTATGTTGTTTTCTCTGTTTATTTCCTCCTGTGATCCTCCCCCCCCCCACCCCCACCAAATCTGTTTTTTAAAACTGTTTTTCAAGAGGAAGATGAAGGAAATGATGCCCCCTGATTTCACAAAATAAATTTCCTGAAAACTGCGCTAAATGAGATTTTTTTTCTTTTAAATATCGCAAGTGCGTTTGGTGGATAACATTACCTTTAATTTTCAAGTTGGTGTAATAAATTTCCGGTGTAAATGCTGCGGGTGGGACATTAGAATATGAATATAAAACAACAGAATAACAAATGCATAGAAAGGATTTATAAGAAAAACTTTGTTTTAGGGATTGTTTAATTCAAAAATAAAACCTGTTCAAAAAAATTTCAAAAACTAATTACACTTTAAGTCAGAGCTGGGCAACAAGCTATGACCAGTGGCTGGCCCAGGTTTTACCCAAGTTTTAACCTTGGGCTGAATTGTAAATAACTGCTTAACATCCCATTAATGATAAATGTTTGAGTAGCATGGCCCAGGTTTTAACCTTGGACTGAATTGTAAACAACAGCTAAACATCCAATTAATGATAACTGAGTACTGTAGTCATTTTACAACAACCAGGCTTAGAATCAACTTGAGTACATACAATTTTATTTATTTTTTTCTTTCTTTGTATACCAAAGTTACATGACTAAGAAATACATTTATTTCTGAAAATGAATTTAATTATTTAGTAAATTTTAGATTTTTGTCACGTGTCCCCCACTAGAGACTTCACAGATGCCAATGTGGCCCCCAGAGACAAAAGACTTACCATCTCTTTCCAATTAAATCAAGAATTATTATAAAATTAATAATTGGAGGCTGATAAAAGTAAATATGAAATAAAATCAGAGGGAAGTAATTACAAACCTTGTTCTCTGGCTCCTTCATTGTCTCCTCAATGTAAAGATCCAAAAGCTTCTGATGTATGGATTTGCTTAAAAGTGAAATTATATTAAAATAAACTTTGAGTTTGTAAACAATAAAAGTATACTTTACATTCAGTTATTCCTTTTTTTTCCCTAAAACTGATAATTTGCGTTAACATTGTGAGAACAAAAAATATATTTAGTAAAAGTTTCAGCTTTTTTAAACCATAAGATTCAAAACCACAACCAATGCAGCTACTAGCTTTGTTAGGTGAATTCAATATGTATCAAATCATATTAACCATTTTTTCACTGAAGAATTCATATTAGGTGTTAGTTAATTCAATGTAAATGTTGAAAATATTTTTCACAACTGCAACATTTGATTGCACAGGCACAGCTAATTTGATAGAAGGTATAGTGTTGATGACATGAAGACTAGTAACTAAGTCCATAAAGAAAAAAAAAAATCTGGTTAAGGGGAAAGGATTACACTACTTATACTTGTAATAGCTGGGGTAAGGTGAAAGAATTACACTACTTACAATGGTAATTCTTATCTCCTATTATTATGTAAAATATAAGCGTCATGGGTGGCATAAAAACAAATTTAACTTAAACATAGAAACAATTAAGTAATTGAAAAGAAAATCAAAAGTATCACAGCTTTCGACAAACAAACAAACAAAAATAATAAAGATCATATGGGAGACACTGACAATAAAGTCTTCATATGTAACTTATTATGTACCTCTTGTTTGAAGACCCTGTGCTTGACTTTACAAATGTTGCAGGACTTTGATCTGAGCAGGCAAGAACATACTGTGGAACAGTTACAAAACTAATAGACCCTGCCTTAATTTACATAATTTTCATTAACATTAGAAATTTAGAAGTAGTCTTTGTCTATCAGAAATCCAAAAAGATTTTAAGTAAAAAGAGATTTATCTTTGTTTCCACTCTGTAGTTCACTATTTGCTCTTTCAAAAATAAACACTGAGCTGAATAACTCGCTGCCATGTCGTGCTAGTCTAATGATATAAATTTGCATCCTATGGGCAATCTTTGAATCACAAAAATAATTATTCACTCATTAATTAGTTTCATATTATTTTTCCATAATTTGCTTAACACTAGTTTACCTCTGCATATTCAATGGCCCGTTCAATATCAGGAAAGTGCGGTAACTCCATTGTGAAACTGAAATATACAGAGATATTAAGAAAAGGCCTTAGTAAAATCAATTCTTGCCTAACACACTTATGCTTAATTTGGTTCATTCGCATTTAGTTTTAGAATAGACAATATAGCTCTACTCTAATATGAAACATGTGAAACCCAGGCAACTGCCCCTCATGTTGGCCCTAATGCTACTCACCAGAAAATTATGCAACTTCATTTAGATAAATGATGTATGTTTTAAAAAATGTCACATGGATTTGTCCTGTACTTTCATTAAAATTTATAATGCGAATATTTTTATAATCATATTGAACTTTTATTTTCCTTATTTTTTGGTTTTAAATTCTAAATTGTGAAAATATTATTTTCTGAAAAAAATGTATTTCAATTTGCCAATGTAAAAATGATGTGGGTTTGCGATTAGGGAAAAACTGGGTTGAGATTTTCACCGGGAACTAAATCTGAGTTTTTTTAGGACAAATATTTCCCAAATCTAGGTACGAATGTGAGTACTATTTGAACATTATTCATGATGAAAATTAAAGTATATTACCCTGAATAATTCCATGTCTACGGACTATACGATATTTTAATCTTATAATAATATTATAAAATTTAAAGAAAAAAATATTTATTCTTAAATAAAAATGACAAAATCCTTTAAATTATTATAATATTTAAAATCAACTGTGGTCAAAACAGTACAACTATGCTAATATCCCTTCAAAGGAGCGCTACAAACAATGTTAGAAGACGGTAAATCAATAACTTTGTAAAGTGGGATGATGTTGACTTTACTTTGTTAATTATTACAAACACTACAGCTAGCATAATTAACCAATAAATATCTATTATTACATCTAAAATTCCTGTCTATTTCATCTGAATCCATTTTTTTAAATTTTAATTATCGTGATATTTAGGAAAATGTAACTCTATTAACAAAAAAATAAGGGGAGTGAATCCAAAACAAAACAAGCAAATGACGTCGGGGGCCTATCTCTCCAAATTAGCCAATTTTTTTTAAAAATTACATTAAGTGGGGTTTAAACAAACTGTTTCATTTAAAAGGTTTGATTTATCCATTAAAGAAGGATGTAAACCAGGGACATAATTTGGGTAGGGCAGGGGGAGCCTTAGCCCCCCCCCCCCCCATTTGTAGGATTTTTTTTTTACTAGGTGTCGGTAGCTAGGACAGTAGAAAATCAACTTTAGCAGAAAATAAATACGAAAAAAAAAGCACTTTTCATTCATTTAAAATAAACAATACAAAACATAAATTGTAATCAGACAAAATTCTTGTTTACATTGCTCTGTACGATGGCGCCTCCAGTAATAAAAAAAACTCAACAAGCAGGCCAAGTTTTGGTTCCCCAACCCCTCCCAAAAAAAAAAATGAAATGATGTCTCTGATGTAAATATTGATATTTTTTCTTCCTCCATCTTTGCGGGAACTCTAATTCACCCATTTTAATACACAAATTTATTGAAGATCTCTAAAACTTCAATTTTCTAATAAATATTCAGATCCATATTGGTACTTAATAGTGGAAAAATATGAAATATTTTCCTCTGGGAAAGGATGTATGAGGTAATTTTTTAGTTGTTCCTTAGTTGCAAGAAATATTAAGATTTTAACGCTTTTAGAAAAGTCACTTGCATAAGATTAGGTACCACTTGATTTTTAAATAACAGTCATAAAATAAGATCAACGATAATTATTCACATATTAATTTTTAAAAATGGCTTTTTTTTCTTTTTTTTTTTAAATTTGTAAAAACTATTTTTATTATTTTTGATAAAAGTAAAAAAAATAAACAAATCCTTGTTTTAAAAATTCAGTTTCACTGAAAACACTGTTGACTTAACTCTGAACAGCAGAGATTGGGTACCATGACCATGTAAATGACGAATGTAAATCATTAAATTGATGGCGATTTTAAATCTTTGGCTTCTTCTTCTTACTCTAGTCTAGGCTGCATCTAGTCCTTTTCTTACTAAGTAGTAAACTTGCAATATTTATAAACTAATACTCACTGTTAGTAAGAGTAAGACCAAGGCTTGCCAAGGGTCTTTATTGGAATATTGGTATTTTTTAATTCAAAGTTAGTTCCCTTGCTTTGACCTATACTTTTAGTGACTTAGATTCTGAGTTTTAGACTTAGACTCTACCCTAAATTTAAAATCTTACTTCTTTTCCTTACTAACTAAAAGTTGAAGTAAATTCTAATCTACTCTAAAAGTAGTAACTAAGTAGACCTAAGTTAGTGTAAGTCTGAGTCTGTAGATAATGTAACTGTTGTCGTAGTCCTAGACTGTGACTGTAGTAGTAGTAGAAACAGAGTGACTAAGACTTTACTAAGAGCTTAGTTTAGTCAGGTTTCTATAACTAAAGTGACTTTACTAGACGAGTAGTAACTAAGTAGGGCTAAATTAGTTAATAAATAAGTCTGTAGACAGTGAAGCCACTGTAACTGTAGTTCTAGACTGTAGTAGTGTTAGCGGAGTGAGAGTAACACTAGTCTAGTCACCAGTAACAGTGAAACTAAGACTAAGAGCTAAGACTTTACTAAGACTAAGAGCTTAGCTTAGTTTAGTCAAGCTTTCTAGTTACTAAGGTGACTTTACTAGACTGACTAGACTAAAAAAAGTAACTAAGATAAATTTGGAGAGAATAGTACCGCAGCCGACATCTTGGTTGCGGAGACCCGCACATTTTTTTTCCTAAATGTATCCCTAAACCTAACCTGAACCCTAAATCTATCCCTAAACCTAACCTGGGTTATGACCCTATGATATCAGTCAGTAGTCAGTATCACTCAGAACCAGGGTTTTGACCCCATCGGAACTATGGACAAGACACGCAAATGACATCAGGGTACTTTCTTTCCAAATTAGCCGTAACTAAAAGTTTAATAAACAATTCAATGATAAATTACTACTAATAAATAATAATATAAATTATAAATTAATAATTAAACTAATAAACATTGACATTGCGATTTAGTTCAGTCTGTTCAAATTATCAGAATCAGATTCATGCACTTAATTCAGGTCGTCATTCATAAATATTCACGTCAATATCGAAGCATGGTTTATATTTTATTCTTACATATTTATTCAAAGACTTAAATTTTTATGAGTTTAATAAGTCTTTTTGTTTTATAATCTTCATTGTTACAAATACAGCAAAAAGCTGTGTCTGCCCAAATGCTCAAATTTCAACCTCAATGATATGTTTAATGTTTACAATTGCTCAGACAATCATAATTATTTCCTTTCCTACCTCTCAAATGGAAGAGGGGGAAATATTGTATTTGCCAGATTGTTAATAGTATTTTTTTTACCTTAATATTAAACGTATTCATTAAAAAATAAATAAGTTAAATTTTTTAATACATAGTTGTACACTAAAGTATATATTATTATTTATTAGTGACTGTGAGAGAGAGGTATTTGGCGGGGAAGAGAGAAAGAGAAAAGAAAGCTGTTTTGGCTTTTTTTTTTAAATTATTATTTTTGACAGTAGAAGCTTTACCAAAAACTGAACTAATAGTAAATTATTACTAGAGAAGGCTTCCGGGCAGGGTTTCTTTCAGCTATATCTCGGAAGGGGGGGGGGCGCACTGCCCGGGGAAAGCCAAATGCAGCCCCCCCCCCCTTCCGGAGCAAAAATATGTTGGTTGCTGGGTGGCCGAGCGGTCTAAACTGTCTCAAACCAAATAGCCGGTGGTCCGGAGTTCAATCCCCATCAAAAGCCAACATCCTACGCACCCTGGGTGGATGGGACTCGTTAGCGTTGGACGGCAACCCATCTAAGAGAAGGCAAATTCTAAATTAAAACCAGGAGCAAAACCAGGAGCCAGAATGAATTGTTCGTGGGCCCCTCAAATATAAGAAGAAGAAGTGTCCAACAATAAATCAACTGGCACTGCTGGTACTGCCCGAAAATGCAAATTTACCGATTTTAATATAGAGAAATGTTTATAGACGTGTAAAAATTGGACGCACTATGCATGCGGCCCCCTATCGCTTTATATTTGTCAATGTGGCCCTCCACACGAAAAGTTTGCCCACCCCTGTCCTAGCCTTTCCATGTGTAATTTTTTTTTGTTATAATTCCTCTAAATTGCTATCTTTATAAACATGAGCTATTATTATAACCTTAATATACCAATCCTGGACTTTTGTAGCATACGTTCATATTATGTGTTCAATTCTCCCTTCAAAAAGTTGATCTTTAAAAAAAACTCTCTGTCACCATACAATTATGTATTTAAAGTCGGCCAGTGGACGTTAAAAAAAATTCAAACACTTAATTGATTTAAATCTGAGAGCTTGGTAGGTCACGCGTGAAGGGATTTATTTACGTTAGAAGCTTATACGTCAAGGACTTACTTGTGTTTTTAGTATGTGTGTCTTCTTTCATTGCGTCGTCAGTAGACTATATTATGATTCATTGACTGCATTCTATTTGTTTCTATGTTGCCAGTTTTCACTAGCCATCGATCATCTGATGTTTAAAATGTGAGGAATGCTCTATTATATACTAACCTAACGTTTGTAGCTACAGCTTCTGCCTTGCAGTTGTTCTCTGGGTCTATGCAATGTATTAAAGTTGTACGGGAATATCGATTTCTGCCTTGCTGTCACGGTTGCCCTTAGAGGCACATTGTATTTGTCCACCACGCTGAATAGATGTGCTCATGTGCATTTTTAGCCACGAAGCTGTTTAAGGCGGAAGAAACTTGGTATTTCTGCTTGAACATTCATTAGAATTAAACCTTTCCGGAACATCAAGGGATAATGTGCATGATTCGCCTACGTTGTTAGTATGTAGGAAATTCAACAGTTTTCACACACTTTTGTAGTTAATTAGACGTGATTAGATAACGAACAGACCACAGCATATATCATATATTTGTAGGCTTACCTATGCCGTATAATAAGGACATTTTTATTGATTTAAATTAAATACTTCAACTGGTATAGAATTCTCAACGCTTCGTGAATCCACTAGGCTACATTAATTTTTTTTTTATTTTTTTTTTTTTGTTAAAGAATTTAAATGTTAGTCCTGTAAGTTTCAGTTTCTGTCTGATTTAGACAAACTATTAGTATATTGATTACTTCATATATGAACATATAAATATAGCCTATTATTTTGTGAGTGATAGAATTCCGAGGTCATTCAAGAGAAGTTGTGGAGAATTACTTTTGATTGATTTGATATTTTAGTAATAGACATTTGTGACACAATCAATTTGGACAGAAAATCTAAGACAGATATTTCAAAAAAAATAATTTTAAAAAAACTATGTTAAATGTAATCGTCACTGTCCTGTCCATCGCCAATGTCATGTCCATCATTAAAATATAATAAAATATTTTTTTTAAATATATTTAAATAGGCGAAACAGCAGCAGCTAAATAGTCATCACAAAATTTAAGATATTATATATAATCCATTGCTACAAGCATAAAATATTTTACCCCGCCACAATACATACAAGATAAATTTATAGAAACTACTAATATTTCCTTTATAGTAAATGTTATGTATATATAATTTCAGAAAGCTAAAAGGCTGCAGTAATGGGAAGTGGACAGTCAAACGTTATATCAAAAACTGATCCAGGAGTAGACAGAGCCAATGGCGGCAATGTGGACTATCTTCGTTGCCTCGACGACCAACAAACCAGCAAAGACCACGACGGAAAAAACTCCATCCAGTGTCAGTTTGTCACTGTTGAGGTCACATTCTCACTGCAAATTTCGTACGGATTTCTAAGCTCCCAAGTAGTTACTTGTGACGTTGATACGTACTACCCTTTGCTCGCGCAACTGTATGAACAGGGGTTCAGGATGGTTACGTTTTATCACATCCCGGGGCAGGTGAGTTGAATAGTGTGTGACGAAGAGACCTAATGGGGCTTCTTCGACCTCGATACCATTAAATTAAATTGTAACATCATGGTGCACATCCTTAGAGTTCTCCACTTATTCTTTGACTTAGACCACCAGTCTCGCATTAGGAACTATGGAACATCCAGCACACCAGAAAGTTAAACATCAGTGTCAATTTAAGCTTTTATATATATGCAAGGGCTGCTCTGCGAGGGTATCGGGGACTGGGGGCTGGAAGGCAGGAGGCAACAGATGCAAATGTGTCAAGTTTTTTCGCCTCAATTACTGTTTCTTTTGGAAGCTAGTTCCAGTCTCTGATTGTAGTTGGCAGGAATGAGCAGTTCTTGTACTGTGTGCTTGCTGTTATGAGCCGAAACTGCCTGCCATGGCCTTGCCGCTGTCTGGGGGGGTGGGGGCGATTTTCTGTTGGAGCAGTCAACCAGTCCATTTTTTGGGTTCCTCCAATGGTGACCAGCCCAGTGTTTCCGGCATGCTGCCAACACTTGAGGTTTTTCCATAGCGTTTGAGGACAAAGCATGCTGTCCATCGCTGGACCACCTCCAACCTGTCGAAGCTCTTCTAGGTGATTATTTGAAATTATAATTGTTTGCCAACTTTTTTTGAAAACTCAAAATGATTGTTTCGTTTAATAAATCCTTGTACACTGCAACTATGGCTTTGTAAATTATCTCAATGCTTGCCCTCCACCGTATTCCCAGCTTTGATGCGTGGCTGGATCAACAAGGTCTTCGGGACCCCCGGGCACAACCATCATGGGGACCCCCGGTGATCTATGTATTGTTTATAGATATTGATGGTTCACAACGTCACGGTAGTATGCCCGGGCGGGGGGCCCCTTGAGTCTTATGGGCTTCAGGATTGAACATGGAGCACGATGACAATAATAAACAAGACAGTAATAGAACGTTGAATGAAAGAGCGCTTCAAAGTTTGCACGTTATAACATTGTTAACGCCATGTTGACTGACGAAAGGATGATGTTTTCATCTTACGTAATGATGATGTTTGCATATTACGTAATGATGATGTTTGCATCTTACGTAATGATGATGTTTTCATCTTACGTATAAATGATGATGTTTGCATCTTACGTAATGATGATGTTTTCATCTTACGTATAAATGATGATGTTTGCATCTTTACGTAATGATGATGTTTGAATCTGACGAAATGATGTTTGCATCTCACTAATCGAGGATGTTTGCCTATTTCTTCCAGTGCCACGACTTAGTCAAGACGACTGGAAACAGGCCTGGCTGCCGTAGATGACCAGCAGCGTTTCTTGTGCCTCGCCGTGCTTTAATGCGTTCCACGTCGCAGGGGTTGTCGGAGTTTTCATTTTGTCAGTGTCATACCGCTTACGGAAATCCATCTCCGAGCTTAATTTCAGATTTTTCCTTCTCTTAATTGTGTTGCCATCTAAGGATAACGAGTCCCACCCACCATGGGTGCTAGTGTTGTTTTTGCTTGTCAAGGCGTATGCTGGGGATCGAAATCCAGTACACAAACCAATAAATATATATATATATGTGGTACGAGGGCTTCCTGACAATTTCCTCATTTGCCTTTAAGTTAATCAAGCAATGCATGGCTACACATAGTGGTTTCAAATTTAAGATTTAGGTGGCAGAGTATGCTTTAAAAAAAATAGCATTCAATTAATTATTATTTTACATTCCCGCCAGTTTCGCAGAGCTGGCTACTTTTCAGCGAAATTCGTCATGCCATTTCAAGGCATATTTTGCAAAAGCAAGGGGTCTTCGAGTGAGGGGAGATATAAGCTCCATGTCGAGAAATCTGTGATTCAGCCGGAGGTCACCTGGAGTGGCTTCATCAATCGCAATATCAAGTCAACAGTCGACTTCACACATGTCCAACAATGCATCACGAGCAACACCCAGAGTGGAGGCCGTCTGATCTGCATAGAGCTGACGGGCAGAGAACAATATAAGCCATCGTTTAGTGGGCCGCGCAGAATGCCAGGTATTTTTTTTATAGTAAAAATAGAATAATGTTTAAAATACTTTAACATTTAGATAATATAGTAGTAGTAGCCAGGGCCGGGTCAAGGTACCGACAATTCGGGCAGTCGCCCGGGGCGCCATGTGCGTAGGGCGCCTTCAACGAGCTTCCAAAATAGGAAAAAAATCATCGCATGTGGGCGCCATGGAAGAAAAAAAAGAAAGTACAATAAAAAGATGTGCCGATCTAAAGGAGGGGAAACAAATGTAATCGGTAGGCTGATTGCTCATATTGTCCAAATACAAGTTAACAAAATAATTTTAACTAACTAGATTAAAGCCCGCCAAACATTGGCGACGGCAATTCGTGAACTTCCCATCTAGTAAAGTTACTTGACAAAACATGAACTCGAGTATCGCACATTTAAGAATCCCAATATTTGCTACACCCCTTCCCCCAATGATACGTCACTGCACACTTTTTATTTCACGCCCATCAACTATATTAATATTCTCATGTCCCAACCACTTTTAAACTGAATATTTTTTACACAATACTTAATTGAGACAATTTCATTTTGCGAAACGAAAATATTACGCACCAAACACAATTGCGTTATTAAAAATCTATATATATATCATTTAGCGTGGTTATCGGGAATTATATTTTGCGCGCTAGTGAACTCATTAATTGAACCACACTCTGGTGTATCTATATATAACCTGCGTGGTGGTGGTGTTTGACCCTTGCTGGCGAATTATATAATAATAATAATAATAATAATAATAGGTCTTCTATAGTGCGGTACCCCAGCCTAGGGCTGAGCTCACCGCACAAAAATTTTATCTAAAGAGACATAATCATGACATTAAAATAAAATACATTTATGAAATAAAGAACAGCAATGCATATTCACCCACCCCATAACTTTTACAAGGCAAACCATGGACGGCAGCCAGCAAGATCGTTTATCGGTCAGAGAAGGGGAATCAGTCAGGGTAGTATAATTTAAAAAGATATGAATAGAGGTTCTTTGCTAAAAAAAAAAACAACCTAAGTAATAAAACTCATTACCTAATCCACAGTTTTTACCTTGCACAAATTTGTATGATTATACTTCAAAGGGGCGCCAAAGTTAAGCTTGCCCGGGGCGCCAACAACCGTAGGGCCGGCCATGGCCATGGTATTAGCTTACACACTAGATTATTGCACTTTAATTATGTAATGTGTTAATTTGTTGTTGTTTTTTAAAAATAATTTCTTATTTTAGTACTAAATGTTTCATAAATTTCTTTTTTTCCTTAGCATTTGGAGTGGACATATTCTTTGAAATTCCTTTGGATGGCAATCGTGATACATTCATTTACCATACGGTACCAGTACCTGTGAATATTCACTACTCTAGCGGATGCAGGCCGGTCCCTAAACTGAAATGTGACTGGAATGGAATATTGAATCAGCACTTGGGTCAAGGGTACAAACTTGTTGAGATATTTGCAGATGGGGGTCAAAATACGCAGGTTAGGTTTGTTTATATTGAAAGAAACTTGTTTATCTTACTATTAAGTCTTAGTGTGAGACTCCAGCCTACACAAATAAATACGATTTTAGTCAAATGAATAGTCAAGTTGTTTTTTTCCCACATGCTTAAAAATGATGATTAAATGAAGGATCAGGTTCAAGCTGCGTGAAGGAAATAGTGAAACAAGGAATGTGGAAGCGCGAAGACTAAAAATGTTATGCTACATTGAAGACTGATATGATAATTCAAACTATAATGGACTTAACCAGATGCATTTTTTACACCCGGTCGGGTATTGAGACAATAACCGGTGGATCCAAGCGTTACAAAATAAAAGTTAACCTCTCATTTTCCATGATATATACTTAACGGTCTAAAGACAGTCCCACTCACTACCTGCCGGCCTTTAAACAATAGTCCTTCAGACAGACCTATACACTACCTGTCGGTCTTTGAACAATAGTCCTTCAGACAGACCTACACACTACCTGTCGGCCTTTCAACAATAGTCCTTCAGACAGACCTACACACTACCTGTCGGCCTTTGAACAATAGTCATTCAGACAGACCTATACACTACCTGTCGGCCTTTCAACAATAGTGCTTCAGACAGACCTACACACTACCTGTCGGCCTTTCAACAATAGTCCTTCAGACAGACCTACACACTACCTGTCGGCCTTTGAACAATAGTCATTCAGACAGACCTATACACTACCTGTCGGTCTTTGAACAATAGTCATTCAGACAGACCTACACACTACCTGTCGGCCTTTCAACAATAGTCCTTCAGACAGACCTACACACTACCTGTCGGCCTTTGAACAATAGTCATTCAGACAGACCTATACACTACCTGTCGGTCTTTG